CTCCAGGGCCTTTCTCTCCATGGAACTGGCAGTTCTGGCAACAGCAGGCTGGGTTGGGGCCTCTGTTTGCCAAACTGCTGGAAAAAGCTGTGAATCGAAATCCCTCACTATTTCCCTCCCTCTCTGGACCCCGTTTCCCCAGAGAGGTTGTGTGGCCTCAGAGGGAACCCCCTTCTGGCGGCAAGCCCAGTGTACTTCCCTCTCTCCACACTTCGGCCTGGGCAAACCTGGCCCTGGCTGCTCCCCTCCCCCTTCCTGAGACTCCAGGAGGAAGAGGCACTGCCTGGAAAAAATAACGCTCTAACCATGAGCTCCCTGCCACTGGGGAGAAAGGCAGAAAGAACAGGGAGCACCTTCCCGGGCTGGCCACAGCACGAGGCTGTGTTCCAGGAAGAGCCGAGAGGCTGGCTGGGGCCCCCAGCCCCACTCCTCCCTGCCAGCCCTCGCAAACCACAGTCAGCAATCGTGTCCCTCGGAGAGATACCCCCTCCCACCCCAGCAAAACCTCAGCTCTTTTCTGACATGTGGCAACTTTCTTCTTACATAATATCTTGATGCTCCTCCCCCTGCACCCTTGCTCCTATTTCAATTGATGAAAGAGCTAAAATGCTCTCTGGGTGACAACTCTCACCCCAGTTCCACCCAAACCCCCATCGAGGTCACACTGGGAAGCTTCAGGTGGAGCAAAGACAGGAGGACGTTTTTTCTTGGCTGAGAAAAACAGTCTTCCTCCCACACCCAGTTCAGCCTGGGGCCTGGGCGGGTAGGTTGCCGAGAGCACAATCTGATCTCTGGGAAGCTGAGCCCTTGATCCTAGGCTGCCAGGACAGAGTCCCTCACAGAGGTGCCACGGCACAGTGTCTGGGCAGGTCTAGGTGCAAGTGAATCACATAGCTGTACCCAGGGCCTGATGTTGTCGTTGTTAGTTGCCATCAAGTCGATTCTGACTCATGGTGGCCCCATGCGTGCAGAGTAGAACTGTGCTCCAGAGGGTTTTCAAGGCTCTGACCTTCCAGAAGCAGATCACCAGGCCTTTCTTCCAAGGCATCTCTGGGTGGTTTCAAACCACCAACCTTTTGGCTAGTCATGGAATGCTTAACCATTTGCGCCACCTAGGGACTCCATACCCAAGGCCTAGAGAGTTGGAAAATGTGCTACTTCCCTTCATTTGCACGTTTATACCCCAATGGCCTGGGAGGCTTGGCTCTTCAACCACAACAAGCAGGACACTTTATTTTCTCTTCCCTGGTAGGAACAAAAGGCAAACAGAAGCTGGACTTGGTGGGAGCTGGCACAATGACAGCCACCATCTGTTGAGTACCTACTACGTGCCAGTCATTTTATATGCATGCTCTTGTTTAACCTTCACAGCAACCCTATGAAGTACTGTTATCGTCCCCATTTTATAGGTGAGGAAACCGAGGCTCAGGAGGTTAAGCAACATGCCTAAAGCTACACAAGTGGAGAAGCTGAAGTACAAACCTAGGTCTGCCCAGGACTCTTTCCGGTGCACCCACCAAGCTTCCTTCAGAGTCACTGCCTGGGTTACTGTCCACACCTCCTAGGAATGGCATTCTGAGTGTGGAGGCGGAAGTGGGTGTGGACGAGTTTTGCTTGATGGCTTTGGAATCTGAATTGATGCCCCCACCAAGAGCTGTTATTCTTCTCAAGAGTGTGACTGTGAGTCCCTCCGAGTGTGTGAGAGAAAGTGTGTGAGAGTGTGTGTGTGTGTGTGTGATCTGAATTCTAAACAGCAGTTTCCAACACTGAAGTTATGCTGTAATGCTTCTGATTCATAAAATGAGCTTACAGTCTCACCATATCCTGTATGTCACTTTGAATGCAAACGAAAATTCTTTAGAAAGAACTTGGGATTTTGGCACACTCTGCCTAGCCCCAGCCCAGAGCTCAGGGTTTAGTTCAGGCCCACAAACCCAGAGTTCCGACGTGCAGAAGCAACCCCTCCAAATGGGGTATGGCTACTGGCTGCGTTTCCTGTAGCCTGTAGTGGGTCATGGAAGCAGCAGCAGCCTCAAAGGCTGCCTCTGTACTGATGCACGCACGCACGCAAGCACACACACGAAGGGTGCCAACCTGGCCTGGCCCGAGGAAATGCCTAGGTTAGCAGATCCCCAGGCAGGAGGCTCCACAACTCTTTCACCCTGAGGTCCAGTATGAGGTCAGGATGACCTGGACATGCTCTCCTGAAGGCCAGCTGCAGGGCAGTGCCAGGGAACAAGAGTCCACCAGCAATGGAATCACCCATCGTGGACTGACCCTTCTGAAACCAATGGCATGGTATGAAGAGATCCCAGCAGCAAGGACTCACTGGACCTACAACATACCAAGTCCACAGTTTTTGATGGAGATCTTTCCCTTATCAGTTCAACTACCATTTACTAAACAACTACTAGATGTGGACTTTGTGGGAATGACACAGAGCTTACACTGGACCAGGGGCTATGATAATACTGAAACATGCTTTAGCCTTTTATATAAACTCACAGAACCTCACAGCAACTCTGTGAGGGAGGTATGAAAAGGAAAACAAGGTCCAGAAAGGTCAAATAACCTCTCCATAGTCACAGAGCTAATAAGCAGGGGCTGGGACTTGAAGCCAAGCACTCTGGCTCCAAGTCTATGTTTCTGACCCCCATATTACAATATGTACCCAAATAACTACATGAGGTGGAAACCATTGTTCCCAAGAAGGGTAAGGCTTCTTAAAGAAAATGGTGTTTGAATCAAGACTAGAAGGATAATCAGGAATCTCCCAGCCACATGTGGCTATCCTCACTGCAGGAAACGGGCTACCAAGGCCAAAGATTCCAGGGGTGGGCCCATCCGCCTCCAAGAAATTACACCCGTGCACCCCTCCTCCTCTCCCTACTGGGAACCCCAGAGGACTCAGCACTGCTGGGCAGCTCTTCCCTGGGTTACGCAGCCACAGGAGGCCCTCGGCTGAATCTGTAACTGTCTGTTCTTTTTTTCCATTTATTAAAAGCAGCAGCCCACAGGGCCAAATACAGGGGCTATTTTTAAATCCCACATTTAAAAGTAAAACTCTCATCCCTCTGGACACTCTTTGCTAGGGTGGAGTGAGGGGTTGACAGAGGTATGGGGAGTCAGGGTTCTGTCTGGAGCTTGAAGAGGCCACACTGGCAGTGGGCGGGCTGTCCCAGAGCAAGCTGCATGGCCTGGGGGGCACCCTCTGGGTTCTGCATCCCCTTGACACTTGCCAGCTAGTCTGACCAGCATAATCAGCAAGAGGCCAATTGGATTAGAGTGGAGACTAGACCAGGGCCATGCAATGAGATGGTTTATCACAGTAATTGAATGTTTACACCCCTATTAGTCACTGTCCAGAGCAGTAGGAAAAAGAGGACCCATAAATCCTCAACCTGGGAAGGCTTTTCCTTTTCCCTTCATCCTGAAGTCAACTAACTGCCTGCAAAAAGGGTCCATTTCTCTGATCCTAAAGAGTATATGTCACACCTTCCCTAGGAGGCTCTGGAGCAAGACAAGTGGTTTCCTCCTGGCCCAAGGCCCACAGGGAGGAATGGCTTCTCCTCAGAGCTGCACTTCTTCCACCTTCACCAGGCCTCCAGTCTCTGAACCCTGAAGCTGCAGGAACGTGGAGAGTGCCTAGACCTGCAGGCAGACACAAGGCCAGGCTCCCCCTGCTGGAGCGAGGGAGACCTCCCTTCCCACCAGCCACAGCTGCCAACAGGAATCCCCTGCACACACATGTGGGAGCGGCCTCCATGTCAGCCAGGGCCCCCTGAGCAAGGCTCCAGGGGCTGGCACACACATTTGATGTGAGATGGTGGAGCAGGAAGTAGCCACCAAAGTTGTGACCAACAAAGTTTCAAACGGGGCAAGTAACTTCCCCTTTCATCTTTCCAGTAGCTCACGCTGGAGGCTGGACTGGGACACCAGTCTGTGGGTGGCAGATACCTCCTCCAAGTCTGCCTTTCTTGGGGCTGAGGCTTGAAAGCCCCAGAGTGGCACCAGGTTCCTCTGCCTCCTCTCGGCCCTTGCCAGAGGCCTGGGAGGGGGCCCTCACGCTGCAGTATGCGTGCATTGGGGGAGGAAGGGTAGGAAAGTATGACTAACTCCACCAAGCCGGCCATATGCAGGGTCCAGACAAAACCCCGGGGCTCCAGTGTTCCCGACAGGCACCACCAAACACAGCACGCAGTGCGGCACCCCGGGGGCCCAGCAGGCCGTTCCTGGGCCACACCAGCGCGGGCATGCGGGGGCAGGCGAGAAGGATGACAGGTCTGAGGTACGCCAACAATGCCCGGGTACGGTCGCTCGCCTGCCTGCCTGCTCGCCGAAAAGGCTCAAACTTAGGCCTCTACTGCACTTGCCCCGGTTTCCTCTGTTCCACAAACTCCCGGCCCGGGGTTAGTTTCCATGCACTGTCCCCTTTCCCGTGCACGCTAGAAGGGAGGGGGTTCCCAAGCCAAGTTCCCGAAGCTCGCGAGTCCCTCCCGCGCCTCCAGGGCCTGGGCTCCGTCACGCCAGCGGGTCCCTGCGGACACCACGTTTCGCTCAGGCAGAGGAGGAGCATTGGTGTTCCTGAGCCACCCCCGCCGCCGCCGCCGCCGAGGGCCGGGCAGTTGGGAGCGTTCTCCTGCTGGGGCCGCGCCCGGGTGGTGGGGGCCGCGAACGCGCTGCGTAGCTGCACAAACACGGCGGGTCTGTGCTGCACACGCAGCTGGGGGGTGCGGGGCCCGGGAGGGGACGAGCTGCAGGCGGCAAACGCACGTACACACGCACACGCTCCCACACTCATCCAGGCCGCAGAAGTTACCGCGCGGCGCCCCTCGCAGCCCGTTGCCCCCGCTCCGGGCCGCACCTGCAGAGCTGCAGTCCACGGAGCGAGCGGCCACCGCTTGCGCGGAGCTCCGGGTCCCCTCGCCACCACCGCCGACAGGGCGGGTTGCGCCCTGCCGTGTGCAGGCCTCGGCCGCCAGCCGGGCAGCTCCACTCACCCCACTCCTGCCCGAGCTCCAGCATCGGCTGTCCCCTCTCCGCCGCCGGCCGCCGCCTTCAGTCGCCTCCCAGAGTCCAGCAGCCTGCACGCACTCCTCGATTTTAAAAACAAACAGGCGCCGTCGCCTTTCCGCGGCGCTCGAGGGGTTTCCGTCAGCCCGCGCCTCCCAAGGCTGGGAAGTTTGCTGGCAGGGCCCGGGCGGGACGCGCAGGCTGTCACCCCCCTCTCGCGGTGCAGGAGCCTCGGCACGCCCCGCGCCCGAGGTGTCCGCCTCGCGATCGCTCTCCCTCCCTCCGTGTCACCCCGAGTCCTGCGATGCAGTGTCAGGATTGCACGGCTCTGACTCATCGGTTGAGCTCACAGCTTGAAAAAAAAAGAGAGAGCAAGAGGCAACAGCGAAGGAGGAGGACTCTCTGGCGCGCTACAAAGGATTGCACAACTCGGGGCTGGGAGCGCGGAGCGCCCAGCGGCCGGCCGGCGCGCACGGCACCGCGGCGAGCAGGAACCAGCTCGACCACTTCATCAGCACAACAGTCTCGGGTCGGCCTCTCTTGCAGCAGGCCCGGCGCCGCCCACTTCCTGCAACCAAATAAGGCCGGGGAAGGCGTCTTTAAATCTCCAGCGGCTGCCCGGGCTGGGGATTTCCAAAAGACCTCACCTCCACTCCCGCGTCGGCTGCCACCCTCCCCCAGCCCAGGCCGGCGCCCCCAATGGCTTTGCTGGAACCAACTGGCCACGCGGCTTGTTCCCTTCACACCAAGGTCAGGAGGAAACGGTGACGAAATGTTTGGAAACCCATCGGGCCTGCCAGGAAAGTGTGTGTGTGATGTTGGGGAGGGCACAAGTCGCTTTCTTCCACAAAGAAAACTCTCTGGTTTTGGGTACGGTAAATCATGCACAATCCTTTCCAAGGCACTTTATTAACAGCCTCCCCAAGTTTCACTTTCTGGATCACTAGTATCCTAGTGCCTGTGAACGTTATTGAGAAACTGGCCCCAGTCCCTATAAGGACCCCTATCTCAATTACTTAAGTGATGAAAAGCTCCTGGGTTTAATTTTAGCAACTGAACCAGAGTTGGAGCAGCTTTTCACTCAGGACCCATATTTCCCCCTACCTTCCGTAATATCAGGGATCCCTGGGTGGAGCAAACAGCGCTGGATGACTAACCTAAAAGTTAGTGGTTTGAACCTACCCAGCAGCACCACAGAAAAAAGGCCTGGCAATCTGCTTCCATAAAGATTACAGCCAAGAAAACCCCATAGGGCCTTCTACTCTGTGATACATGGCGTTGCCTGAGTCGGAATTGACTCAAGGCCAATGGGTTTGTTTTTTTGTTTGTTTCCTTAATATTCTCCTGATTGAGTCTCTGGTCAAAGCACTGATGCCTCCTTGGTGGCTGGTGGGAAAATGGGAAGCATTGCTGCAGCTCAAAGGTGATTATCAGGCCCCACATTCAATGAGGCTCCAGGGCCCAGGAAAAAGTCCATGGGAGTCCTGTTCTTCCATGGTTCCTTCCTCCCTCCCCCACCGCCCCCGCAAGAGATGGGCCAGAAAGATTTTCCTTTGAAGGAACAATCACTGACAAATATACTGTCACCTGGCAGCCACTTTCCCCTGCGGTCAGTCCTGAGGATCAGGTGCATCCCACATTCACAGGGAGAAAGGGAGGGGCAACAGAATGTGATTCTGACAGCTGGCCTTAGCCTGCAGGGTCAGCGCCTTCACTGCCAGGAGACAGCAATGTGGGACCTTCTGCCTGGAAATGTTGCCGAATCTACACTTGGCTCCTAAGATGGCATGGCTTTTCCATCTTCTTCCACCCCTTTGCTGGCCAGAGCACCTATGTGTGCACCTGGAAGTCACCTTACCCCAAAGGAAAAGGGCTTATTTGTACTATGGTATGACAGAAACATCAAAGTAATGACAAAACAGTCTTACCTACAAATACATGCCAGGAGCCTGGACCACATGACCTCTTGCATCTCTTCCAGTTTAAGATACATGAGTTCTGTGATTGTAAAGGTTGAATGGAGGAGTCAGGGAAACCACCTTTTGCAAAGAAAGGCCAAGTCTTCTGGATTTAGCATCCCCTACATGGGGTTGCCATGAGTCGGAATCAACTCGAAGGCAATAGGTATGCACACAGTAAGCAGCCCTGGTGGTGCAATGGTTAAGCACTGGGCTGCTAACCAAATGGGTGGTGGTTTGAACCTACCAGTGTGGGAGAAAAGACCTGGTGATCTGCTCCTGTAAAGATTTCAGCCTAGGAAACCCTATGGGGCAGTTCTACTCTGTCATATAGGGCCGCTATGAGTCAGAATCCACTCAGTGGCACACAATTCTCAAAGCCCTTCCTACACACAGTCTTCTTAACAACTCTGTGTGAGAGAGATTTTTATTCCTCTCATTTTATGGATGAGAACATTGAGGTTCAGAGAGGTTAAGTGACTTATGCAAGGTCACAGGGCAAGCCAGTTGTCAATTCTCTGCTCCCCTTCCAACCTGCCTCAGAGAAAGGCAGTGAGTGACTGATGGGCTGGGGTGCTCAGGCACGCAGGCCCCCAAGTAGGGGCTAAACTCTCCAGATTCCTGGCAGAGACACAGTGTAAAGCTTTTCTGCTTTTCCATTTTCCTGCTTTCTCCGCTCCCAAAGACAGCTCACCCAAGTGAGGGAAGCAAACACAAAGCCACTGAGTCTCCAGTGCCCACTGCTGCCAGGTCCCTCTGTGACCTGTGGCCAATCTGACCTCCTCTACTCCCTGCCCAGGGCCCAGTCCCTGCAGCTGGCCGAGGACCTGCCTGGAGCAGGCCACTCAGCTCTAGCAGCCCATGAGAGCCAGTGCAGACCAGCCCAGGGACATTCCCAACCAACCAGAAAACCCGGCTGGGGAGCACATTCCTAGAAGAGTCTGCCACTGGGCAAGCCAGGCCCAGCCTCTAAGGCACAAGTAGGAGCCACTCCAAAGGGCACTCCTCAGCCCTGTCCCAACAGGACTTCCTTCCTGTCCCACACCACGCTGTGGGCGCTGGCCCAGGAAGCAGCACAGGGAGTAGAGGTTGGTGGCAGGATGCACAAAAAACCGAGAAGCCAGTGGGCCTGGAGGAGCCCTGATTACCGTGGGGCAGCACATCACCTCACCCCAGCTGAACTTCCAAATTCAGGCAACTTCAGAAAGAAAGCGAGGGAGGAAAGGGGGCACATGGGTGTGTAGGGGAGGGCTCCAGAGTCTCCCCAGTGGCAGGGGGAGAAGTCTACCTCCCAGAGGCGGGCAGATGATAATCTGTAAAGCTGCAGCTCTTCCGGGAAAGCCCTGGAGGTCAGTTTTGCTGCAGATATGACAGTGCAGGATCACTGACACGTGAAGTGAAAGTTTTGGTTTTAGAAGCTCCAGCCCCTTCTATAGGCCTCTAGGGCAGCCAAAAACAGTGGCCTTTGGCGGGGAAAAAGTATTCCAGGGACCTTACCCTTTTTTCCACCATAGACCTTCTCTACAAACTTCAAGAAAGAGAGGAGTACAGGGCTGCAGTTCCCAGGGAGTGTATCTGATAAGAAACACTCCAGGAAGCAAAGCATCTGAGACAGGCTTCCAAACCCTGGGCCCCAATGAGGGTAGAGTATGACGTTCCAGAGCGGGCTTCCTGGGACTGCATCAGCTCAGAGTCTGGTCACTGCCCTGACTGGTCATCGCCAATGTCCACTTCTGGGACAACCCCAGACTATTAAAAAGCTTCCAAGGGTGAATTTTATATGTAAATTGTATCTCAATAAAGCTGTTATTAAAAAATAAACTTCCAAGGAAGCCAGGTTCTTACCACCCACCCACCTGCTTCCATTCATTTTCTGCTGCCATCACTCACTACAGTATTTAAAAGGGGTTTTCTTCTTCCCAGGTCCTGTGCATGCATCCCTGTCCTTTTTCCACTTTCCCTTCTCTATCAGTACCTTTCCATCAAGGCCAGCACACTTTGGTGTGTTTAAGTGAACAACCAACCTTTACTGGAGGGTGGGGAGTCGGGGGTACAAACACAAAGTTGAGGAAATCACAAGTCCACAATACTGGGTTTCGTATGTCCCTGGTGTTCCTTGTGTCCCTTCTGTCATTTCCCTTGCAGAATAAGGGTACTACCTTCTAGAACCTCATTGCCTATGGTTACAACAGAGGAAAGAGAAGGTTGTAGAAAGAATGGGGAACCAGGACTGAGTCTGGGTCCTGCCTAGCTAAAGCTAATTTGCTATGTGATCTTAGCAAAGTTGTCTCTTACCTTCTCTCAGCCTCATTTTTGTTGGCCCATCATAAATGCTCTATGAAGTATTTGTTACATGACCAATGAAAGAATGGATAAGTGTCTCCTATGGGATTGTGAGTATCAAAAGGACAAAAAATTGTTTTGTAAGTGTATCATGCAATGTACATGTTACCTGTTGCCACCGAAATCGATTCCGACTCATAGCAACCCTATAGGACAGAGTAGAACTGCCCCAAAGAGTTTCCAAGGCTGTAATCTTTACAGAAGCCGACTGCCACATCTTTCTCCCACGGAGTGGCTGGTGGGTTCAAACTGCTGACCTTTCAGTTAGCAGCTGAGTGCTTTAACCACTGCACCACAATGGTTCCTTACTATGTATGGGGGTTATAATTGTCACTATTTTTTATTATTCTACCCTATAACTGGAGTCTCTGGGTAATGGAAATGGTTAACACTTTTGGCTGCTAACTGAAAGGTTGCCAGTTCAAGTCTACTCAGAGGCAACTCAGAAGAAAAGTCCTGGTGATCTACTTCTGAAAAATCAGCCACTGAAAACCCTATGGAGCACAGTTCTACTCTGACACACACAAGGTCGCCATGAGTCAGAATTGACTCAACAGTAACTGGTACCCTACAACTCCTCCAAAAACTAGCTTCTCTGTTTTAAAACCCTAGTTCCAGGCAAGATTTTTTTCCCCCTGAAAAGACTCCAGGTTCACCCCATTAACCTCAGGGTGACTGACCCTCTGTTGGGCTCAGCCCAGAGAGACTCTTTCTAACACTGACTCAATGTTCTATCTGGGGTTTCCCTCCAAGGTTTCTCCCCAGCCCCTGTTCTTTTCCACAGTGCTGCCCATCCAACCTGGTTAGGGACACCTGCTGA